CTCATCACCCTCTCATAGTTAGTAAGTCTCCATTTAAAACGTAAAAAATTCCCCATTTTTTTAAATCCATTAAGAACTCCGAACTTTTCAAAAGATCTTTAAAAAATCACTTTTTTTTTTAAAGGAACCAATATAAATCCGAATTTAATTTTTTTTCAAAAAAATTTAAAAAAACATCTTCCCTATAAATTTATTTCTTCATTTATATAATATTATTGAATTCTGATTTAAAGATAAGCACATTAATAGTGGGAGTAAATTAAAAATTTTGAGTTAACAAAAAATTCTGTCAAAAATTTCACCATTAAGTTCCTTTTAAAAAAGTGCACGAAAAATACAAGCAATATATCTCCCAAAAACTAAGATATCGAAATAATCATGTATCTCACAATAATAGGTAGAGTTAAAAGAATAGTAACTCAACGGAAAAAAAAATATATTTTTCTTAAAACTTGGAACATCCTTATAAAGAGAAAGAGAGATAATCAATGATATTAAAGATTTAGATAGCTAGAAATTCAATCTAAGATTTGAATTTACTTAAGCATTTTGTTGCTTTCTTTATGCATAGAGAAATTTGATTAATTTCATATTTTTATTTTTATTTTATTTTTTATTTTATTTTTTTATTTCATTGAAGTATGTAACATAGCATTTTGAATAGACCACTATTTTACATATTTGAATGTTTGTGTTTTATTTTAGTTAACTACAATCCTATACTCAAGGTCTTTTTTATTTTTTAGTTTATGAACAATAATCATATATCTTGGTTTACAGTTCTTATTATTTACTAATATAGTTCTTGTTTTTAGTATTGTCGTTGTTGTTATTTCATTATATGCTCCCAACAAATTTATTTTATGTTTTGTGTTGTGACAGCAAAGTAAGTATTATTGATGGATTTATTGAGAGTTTCGACAAATTATTATTCATTATTACTCTAATGACACTAGGCAAGGCCATAAAATTATTGCTCAATGACTTTAATGTATCTGTACAAAAACTACAAATCATAATTCTATATTGTGTGATTTCTACATATCCAATATTTTCACTTATTTTTTTTAGGCAAATCCGAAATATTCATGATTCTATAACGCACCGTATTTTTGGGTGATCCGAATTGTTTACCTGATTTTTTCCTCGAACTTTTTAAAATAAAACCCATTTATTAGCTATAGTTTAGTTTTCCGATATATTATTATTCTCCTACTTGTGAACTATGCACCCTCTATGTCTGTATCCCTTCATCCGCCCTCTCTCTGTCCGTCTCCCCTCATTCGCTCTCTCATCACCAGTGTTTTAAAAAACGCCGAGTTGAACCGGACTCGCCCGGTTCGACTCAGAATTCACGAAAAGGGACCGGATCGGTTGAAAAATTGGAAATCGTCCGGTTCTAGAGAGAACCGGACGATTCCGCACAGTGACTCGCCGATTCACTGTACAGAATCGGCGAGTCCGTTTACGGTTTTTTTTTTTTTTTTTTTTTTTTTTT